GGCTGTTGGGGTGAGGCATGAAAGGAGAGTAAGAAGGAGATGATGTAGAAGCTGACGAAAAAAAGACTCTAAAGGAAGTGACGTTGAGATGAAGAGATGGACTGAAATAGCATCCAATTGCATCACATACTGAATTCATCTTAATATTCTGAACACTTTTTTTGTTTGTTTTCTGCTTTTGTTCCATTTCAATTCTTTTCCTCATTCTTATTGACCAATGGAGGAAATGCTTATGCGAACAAGCATTCCTTTTATGCTTCTCGTCAAAGACTCCTTCAGTCATGATGGTCATTAATTGACTCCGCAATGCAGCGGTAAATCAGAGCATAACGAAGAGTAAAAACAATATTCCAGTTAAAACTTCTGTTGTAAAAAGAGAGAAAGGGGAAGTAGAGAGGTAGATGGCAGCAGCGAGTGAGACTAGAAGGAGGGAAAGGAGTTAGCATAACTATATGTACACATACACACACGCATAGTTATATATATATATATTTATATATTTATATATATATTATATATATTGAATTGTTTGAAGAAGAAAAAAGTTATTTAAAGATTGTGTATAAGATTAAAACGCGGTTCCAGCTGAATTTGATTTTGGCTTGAAGGGAGCATGTGTAAAGCTCAATCTGGAAATGATTTGATTTCAATTTTAAAATAACTTGCATTCAGCTATTGTTTTCATTTGCTTGTCAAACAGGGAGGGGGTTCGAACATGCTTATATCTACTACTTCTTCTTCTTCGCCTTCATTTGCATAATCAGTTATGTTTCACGTGAGGAAATGACTTCACGTCAAACAGAAGCTCTGTTCATTCTATCGCATGCGTGAGCGCATTGAACGGTTGTTTCATTCTGTCTGTCTTCTATCTATGTCTGACTGGGCATTTTGTGTTGTTTGGCACCTTTCGTTTCATTGCTTCATTCCTCATATCGTCTACACGTTGTCATGCGTTCTATTCTATGCAAATTATATTATTTTGCATATCGTTTTACATTTGTCGACAGCTTGAACATCGGTCCTTTTCGGTTTTTTGGCACAAACCAGATAAAATCAGGAGAGTAGTGGCTAGCTTAAAAAGAATTTATTGCCCTCCGCTATTGGCCGTTAAGCATATACTTTGAGCTGAGTTAAAGATTTCTGTGTTTCACGTTGACACAAGTTAGCTGACCAACCAAACAACGAGTCACAAGGATGATGATGATAAGATGGTGGACAAGGATAAAGTGTTCAAGAAGGTTGTGAAGAAGATGAAAAAAAACTTTTTTTTTCTTTTTGTCGTCTTCGGACAAGACAACCGAAGATGAGAATATCAAGTGTTTCATGGTCATCATCAATGTTCGAGTGGATGTCGGCACTTTCGTGATGCAAATGAAATGAATTTTTGAAAATTACCTTCGTTTACCATTGAATCCATACATGCGTGTGTGTGTGTGTGAGAGAGAGAGATGAGGATAAGAAGGAGAGAGGGAGAGAGAGAGAATGATCTAAGAGATGTTGGTGGGATATGCTCAAGATAGGAAATGCAAATTACGATGTTGAGCTGGATCTATTGTGTAGCTGAAGAAGCTGGAGTAAAAGCATTAAAGGTTATTAAATGGTAGTCAATCAGCTGGTAGAATATGCAAATTTGAATAATTTAATAGTGTCATAAGCAGAATTGCTGCATCTGCCCCGATATGTTTTTACAATTGCCATGTATGGGTGTTGTGTCAGTGATTGCTGAGGGAAGAAGTCTCAAATTGATTATTTCTCATCGTCCCTATCTTCATCGTCCCTCTCTAAATCATTTTCTTCTCTTATAAGATATTTAAAAGATGGTTAAGATAAGGATAGAGAGAGAGAGAGAGAGAGAGAGAAAGGAAGGAAGGAAGGAAGAAGAGAAGGAAAGGAAGAAGTCTCTTATAGGTTTCTGGCAAAGCACCTCATCTATCCTAAACGTACCTCAACCCCTCTCTCTACCCTGTTAACAGTTGTTTCACATCCACAAACTGTCAAAGTTCCGACTGAACGAAAAAAGAAGGAAAATTCTATAAAACTTATGGGAGATTCTGATTAATTTGGACATTTTTAATGATGGAGAGAACGAGTTTTCTTTGTAGTTCAGGATTTGTTTTGCAATCATCTACTACCCAAAACAGAATGTGTTCTACTTTGTGCTTCAATATGCTTCTCCTTCATCATTATCTTCCTTCTATCATCATCATCATCACATTGATATTCATGTTAACTATACTAACTATACATACATACATGCATATATAAGAATTGATTGATTGATGAGCATCTTATTAGGAAGAAGTCGTTGACGCTCAACATGCCATACGTTTTTCATTAAAATTCATCTGAAATTGACGATAATTGCTTCCCTGATCATAGTGTTCATGATGTTTCCTGACTTCTTTCTCTCTCTCTCTCTCTCTCCCTCTATCAATTCAACCAAAGGATCTTCTTTCTCAATTTACAGAGAATAAAAATTTTTTTTCTGGTCAAACTCCAACTTGCCCATTTCTCTTTCTCTCTCTATCTGACTGTCTATCTCTCTCTCTCTCCCTACCATGTATTAGATACTCTTCAGTCTTATAATGAAAAAAACACATCTGAACTTCATGACAGTCAGATAGTTTCCATAAGTGGACTAGCAACCCTTGACATACAGTTCTCTCCCTGAAAATTTCAATTTCAAAACCTTCGCTAATCATAGATGGAAATTAACTTTTTCCATGAAAACGTGATAAACAACAGTTTCTTTCATAATAAGCGTCTGAACAGTATGTATGTCTAATTACGAATATGGCTGATAACCAAAGACGTTTCTAGAAATGTCTGAAATCAACTGAAGCATCGTCATCACACGTGCTTTACAGATCTTTTTATCAATTTTAGTGCAGATTGTGAAATTGTTTGTTCAAATATGAGCATGTATGGCATGTTTCATTGACCCATGGGGCCAATCGTCTGTTGTCTTAGTTGGCCTCATTCCAATCACTTCAGTATCATCATAACTGCTGGCTGCGGGCTGTAACGTGAAAGAGTTGGAGACTGCAAATGCTTGTCAAAACTTATGCTTTTCTTCTTTTTTCTTCTTTTTTTTTGTTCTTTGTGATTGAAGTCGAAGAGAAGAGGACTGATGGGAGTAGGAAAGAGGGTGAAAGAGAAGAAGCAAGCAAGCAACAAACATATTTGAAGAAATGTCAAATCACTTATCCATAAATAAGAAAGTTTGCAACGCACTGCCATTTGTGTGTACGTTTTGTTTTGTTTATTTGTTGATTGTGACTCTCATAATGCGGCTGTGAGCTTTTGAAGTCTTATTAACGAAATATTTCTTTTTTACGTTTTGACAAATAAGAACCTTCTGGAGGAGGCATTGAGAGACAAATGACGATGGAGAGGGTTAGAGAAGCAGAAAGTATAGGAAGAGAAGGAACATGAGGGACTTCAGCTTGGAAAAAGAAAACTTGTACAGAGACGTAAAGATGATTTGCCTGTTGTCGCCCAAACTTACTCACTTGTCTGTTTTCGCTGAAAAAACGCCGGAAACGGAATCCCATTACTCTAACCTAGGTCTTTCAAGTACTACCAAAAGCAGATCTGAACCTGTTTAGATGGCCCCCTCTTTTGCCACCAAGGGATAACAGCTTGGAGTAGATATACAGAGAGAGAGAGGGATAGAGAGAGTAAGAGGTAGAGAATGGGAAAAGAGAAAGAGGGAAGGAGAGAGAGAGAAGGGGAAAAAGAAAGGAAAAATGAAAAATAGGCTTAAGGGGTCGGCTTGTTATTTTATAAATGTCTGGTATAGTTTGTTATAATTATATGAAGAAGCTGGATAAGTATAGTATTTGAACAAGTAGATAGACACAAGGGAATAGTAAAAGACGACATTTCGTTGTCTCGTTTGATATATAGCAAACGGTTCACTCGACGAGAAAATCTAACTAAGTTCCAGTAAATGATATGATACTTGTGCTATCTTGGGCTTCTGACATCTCTTCTCCACTGTCTCAGGCTTTTCCTCTTTCTCAGCAGGATTCTTTTTCTCTCTCTCACTCTCTCTCTCTCTCTCTTTCACTCCCAATTCACTTTGCAGCTTTAAAAGAAGAAGTTGTGAGTTTAAAAAAACGAGAGAAAGACAAGCTGAACTCACTGTGTTCTGAACTGAATGACATCATACATCTAGGCTTTGTCGTCATTTTTTTCTTTGAATAGTTCGAGCAAGCTTAGCAAACATAAAACAATTTGCAAAAATAATCACAAACTACAACATTGAAAAGAAACTATAATTAGATGATATTTCCATTAATCCCCTCTATCTATACTATGTTACAAGCATAGATAGCATAGCTTAGATTGGGAGGATTGGGGGGGGGGCTGATCATAACATTCAATCTTCTCTCCTCATATGTACTTTCCTTCAAAAATTAGGAGAAAGTTATGTTTTCTTCTTTCTTTCCCCCAACCCTCTTTCCCTCGTCTGCACTCGTCTCCATCGAACCTTCCGAATGTCCACTGTATGTTATGAGAATCAAAGATTACGCTTTGTTCACCTTTTCTCGGGAATCTTGATAATTAGACTTAAAGAATAAAGAGTGGAGTTTGTTGAGCAGAATATCTTGCACCGTTAAGTATGTCATAGTTTCCGAGACCAACTCCTAACTTCGTTTCGCCCATCTCTCACTCCCTATACACCGCTATGCTCTTTCACACGCGCACTGTTCTGCTATCTCTTTACAGGCAGAAGCACCTTATGAGATACATGTTCGTGGTGTATGGTGTGTGTCTATGTGAGTGAGAGTGAGAGATAAGAAAGAATGAGGAAGAGAAAATATAATAATACCCATCTTCAACTCAATGAACGTGTTAGTCCCCTTGACTCCTGTACGCAAATAATGGCACGTGAACTGCCCACGTGAAGCCACGTGCGCGCGCTTATTCATTCGCAAAGAAGATGAATGAAGAAACGGTTGCGTTCCATAATAATTTAACATTTGTGACTCGTATCCACTTGAGTCCATTCTCTTCTTTTCTATTCCCTGCGTACTTCTTTCATGAATTTTCTTTTTATCTACACCTTCCATTGTTGAATGTATAAGTAGAAGGAGTTTCATTGATTTTCACACCTTTCCAGCTGCCTACAAATTCCATTATGTTCGAGCATTAAGCTTAATCAATCTCAGCAACTTATCGCATGTACTCTTCTCCATCCTCCCCTTTATACAAATTAGTTATTTATCTAAAAACTAATTTATACCGCGATATGCTTAGCTTCCAAATAAACAGCATTATGCAGCCTTGGGGAATTATCTTGAAGCTTATCGATGTCTTAAAGGATTACGCTCATCAAACGTAATTATAACAATTCGAAACCTATTGCTATGATGTGTTCGCAGCCTTTAAACAATTAATAATACAAAATGTATTATTTGAATAACAAATTGTTCCCTTATAATCGAACTGTCGGAACTGAACTTACCCACGTACACACACATCTGAATTTTGTCCGATCCGGAAATGGAACAGGTGATCAAGACAAAAATAACATCACTTTTTCATCATTCACTACCATTCTTATGCAACGACCGGTCAATGTGACGAATCGAAACAAAATATTTCGCTTACGCTTATGCTATACGAATGGGTCCTATGCGATAAAGACGAGAAGTACACAGACGACGGTGATCAGCGCGTCTCCCTGTCTGTGACATCCCCTCAACTACTGAGAACACAGCTAGAAATTTGTGGACGAAAAATCCATCTACATATAGTACATCCTTTGTCGCACAACGACGATTTTTGTGTAGTTCTTCAGTAGATCATTGCCTTTTGGAAAAAGAGAGAACAAGTTTATTTTCATCATTCACTTTCAATTCTGTGCGTGTGTGTGTGTGTGTGTCTGTGTAGGGTTGTGTTTGATTATGACATTTCATAAACTTACGATGTTAATGAAGATCAATTTTTCAGACCAGCATCTTTCATTGGCGTAGCATTCGTTTTGGGTGCCTTTTTCGCTCTTTGCTTTCAATGCCGATAGCGATGTCATAGAGTTACTACGTTCGGAGTGTTCTTTCTTCTATATGCTAGCAGTCGAACAGCACGATTGCATTTTGGTTTGATTACTCTTGTTCTTAATAAATGTATTTGACGATTCGAGTAGGAGATTCAGTCATTTCTTCATAGAAAAACTACGCATAGCATTAAAATTTAAATTATTAAATAATCTTTCATGTTATTGATGAAGAAGAAGAAGAAACTATGAGATGTCGAACGAATGATAAAGAACATCTCTGATCATAAAAAAGTGGCAAGAAAGTACGACAAACGCAAAGTTTACAAATTGTGTACATCATCAAATAAATAACAACCATTTTGTTGACTGGGGCATAAAAGGAACAACAACAAAAAGAGAGAGAGAGAGAGAGTAGAGAGAGAGAGAGAGACGGGAGGGAGAGAGAGAGAAAGATAGGTGGGAAGAAAAAAAAATGAAAATTTAAAAATGTTTTCAAACAGCTGTGGCAATGATAGAAGTTTGGAGGTCTATGCGCACAGATACATACATAGAAGAAATTCATCTGATAAACTAAGCATAATCGACTATCAAGCGTGATCACAGAGTAGGAATGTCTGTGGAACGAGGGTACTACAGTGCACCTTTGGATACCATAAAAGACTAAGATACATATTAGGAAAGATAAAATGGCTTTATCACGGTAGTTCTCTTTCAGACAGACTGGACGTTAGGATTATGAAGTCCAGAAAGAACCCGGATCTATGAACTGAGGCTATTTAACTTGAAAACATAGAAAGCATATCTTCTCACACTCACACGCACGCACAGACAGACATAATTTGAAAAAAGACACAAACTGATGATGTTGATATAAAGTAGAAACTACAAAGAAGTCAAAAAAAAAAGAAAACGAGAACATAGGATCTTCCTAACCTTATCGAAGGCAATATAACTGAGGTATTTTGGTTGTTGAAGCCACCACACATACATATACGGCTAATGACAACTCGTGTAATAGAAATCCGTAACCACTAACTCTGTATAGAACGAAAAACTGAACTAGAATGCTGCTCTTGCTGTTGTTTGGAGGTTGATTGGAGTAAAATGAGGAATTGAATGACAAACTAACAGCCATCTTATGGATCTTACTGTACAATCAAAGACAGGGTTGAAAATAAGTACAAGGGAGGGGGGATTCACAAGAAACAGAATGCGAACAAGTACAGTCCGATCCAGATACAATCAATTTGCATAACGACTGGGAGTAGAAAAAAATACCCCACTACCCGCCCAGAATTTGAAGAAGAAGAAGGGCTATCCACAAATGTTTGATATATTAATATATATATAGGTATATGTATATATATAATATTGAGAACTCTAACACGTGTAAGGTAATAGAAAGTATAGAATCTAAGAGAAATCTAAGATATATGGAAAGAAATCAAATATAAATTTATAAATACATCTGGAAGAAGAAAAACATACACGCCTTTCCTAGAAGCGTCTTGGCACTATAGAACACTCAGGCCGCCTCGAACTGGAAGGCTAAGCAGCACCACAATGAGTTAAGATGCACACACGTGTGTGTGTGCAACTATCTCTGGGCAGAAAGAAAACAACAGATCGTGTGGATGAGGAGCCGAAGAACGAACTACTTTGCATATCTTCAAGCAGGACGGTGATATAACAGGAACTAATCGGATTTTGGAAAAACTTCGCATCATCAGTTTCAGCATGACACCTTCATCAACAGACATTGAAGAACCACAGAATGCAAAAAGCGTCAACGCAGTGAGCGTTCTACATTTCAGTGGCTTTCACGTTGGAACTGTCGACTACTAGGACAGGGTGTATGTGAGAAGGTCCGACTTACGAACTGTATGCTTCGTTCAACTACTCAGAAGATGTTCGTAATTGAACATATCATCGAAGCCTGTTGATGGGTTCGTAGCCGCACCTTGGTTATTATAATATAATCGCACTGTCGCTTCCTGGAACATAGAACACTCTAATAAAGTTATCAAAGAACACACATACCCAAGTATTCAAATAATCTGTAATGCTCTGTAAATCACCACGCCCTAGCCGGTCATGAACATAATTTTGAAGATCGTCGTAAAAATAAGCGTCTGAAAAGGGATTGTGGCGGTTAGCATAAGACCTCGTCGTGTTCTATCACCTAAATCTATTGCAGCTCTATCGATAGTAATGGACCCGTTAGGATAGGCAAAAGGGACTAAAAGACGCAAAGGCGGAACCTGCATTGCCCCTGGAAAAAAAACTTTTCTTGCTGATTTGGCTAGTGGTAAACGTACTTAGTTTGCACTTCACAAGGACGCAACCTTTGTCTCGAACCTCAGTATTCGTGCTATCAAACTCGAATCTATCGGTTAGAGAAGTGATCTCCCGCCTAGCGGTTTCTGTTAATGTACCGCAATTCTGAATAACAAACAGTCATTTCATTACTTAGACTAGAAGACTACTCACCGGGCTTCGCACATCGTTCGCACTTTGATTTTGTAAGTTCTGCTGATATGGTGGTTGCTGATTGTTCAATGCTTCCATAGGAGTGGGCAAAAGGTCTTCGACGTTATAGAGATCATCAACATTAGAATGTTCAGGAGCAACATTGGCATTGGGATGATAGCCGGGTCTACCATGTAACTGACTAGGAGGAATGTCAAAACCTGCAGGTTCTTGAACGTCAAAAATAGAAATTTATAATTCACTAACTATTCATATTTCCGCTATTCGGAGGAGGAGGAGTATTCATGTGCTGTTCCATCCCTGTTGAGTTTGGTATCCGCACTGGATCAGCTCCTCCGTGGGGCGGCATACCCTCAACACCTGGTACATGACCACTTGGATTCATCATCCGAACCATGTGTTGATTTCTCATCTACAATACTTCTTCTCAATAGCATAAATAAATATACACCCACGTTTCTCATATTGGCTGGCGGAGGATATGGACGATGATGTTCGACCATCTCTCTGCTGTATGATGGATGTATAGGACCAGGTCCTCCTTGCTGTTGCATCTGAGCTCCTGGTTGGATCATCATACCTCCGGGAGGCATATGTGCAGGATGGGGAGACCACATTTGAGGGGGAGCCATGTAAGAATGATGAGGTGGATATCCTTGAGCATGATGCATCTGAAAACGAAAGATTCAGAATAGAATAGGTTCAAACACTAACTGGATGAGCTACAGGGCTTCCATCTGGGTTCATTCCCATCATCATATTCTGTGGAGGTTGATGATGCCCATTTGGAGGCATACGCATTCCTTGTGGAGCCTGGAGTAATGATGATGTTCAGCAAAGTATGAAGTAACTTGAACAAACCAGCATATCACTCTTTCTATATATCCAATTTTCCAAATTTTCTAGATAACCCAAGCTGACAATTCGCCTCCCTTCCAGAACACCCAGCATAGTTTCTAACTTAGCAGCTGCTTCTTTGTTGCCCTGCATCCGGCATTGTTGGGCTCGTGTTCTGCAAGATATTGAAAGCTCGTTCAAGTGTGAATTTTATACCTTATATGAGGATTATATGGTCTCAAAGAGTTAAGCTTATTATTATAAGTATTCTTTTCTTCCGGAGTTAACATAGGCTCGTCCATAGCCCCTGGGGGAGCGGAATTTATGATTTCAGCTCCTTGAGACATTGTTGGACGACTGATTTGAGGCTGAAACAGAGGGGTTGTAGAAAGGACCATGTGTAGAACAACATACCTGAGGAGGAAACTGGGGCTGGTTTATGAGAGACTCGAGAACAGATCCTTGCCCAGAAACATTCTGCTGGGGAGGAACATGATTCTGAGCAGCCTGTGGAGGTGGTGGATATCCACCTTGTCCCCATGGAGCTACATTGGGATAAGGATGTTGGCCATCCCAACCGCGAGCCATAGGCTCCTAAAATATGTTATTATTACCATCTCAAGCACTACTCTTACTTGTTTCGGTTGTTTAGGCATTCTATTATCGTATTGTCCCATTGGACCTTGAGGCGGCATCATATTATATTGCCCGTATCCATTAGCTCCTTGCATGGGGTTCTGAACGGACAGAATGAGTGTGATGTGTGACATACATACAAGAAATGGCAACAAAATGACAGAACAGAACGAACTTGTTGTGAGGTAGGTTGCATTTGTGGAGGTGGTTGACCCATAGGAGGTGCTTGATATGGTAAAGCATCAGGGATCGAAAATACAGGGGAGAGCTGAGGTTGCGGCCCAGCACCAGAATTCGGTATTGAGGAGGAGGGCTGTGCTTGCTGATTTTGCTGTGTTTGTTGTTGATTCCGAGCCTGTAACAGCTGAGGTGAGAAAACGAAAGAAACAAGAAAGCAAACGACAACGGTTGTAAGAGGAAGTAAAATGCAAAGTTTACCTGTGTAGGCTGGGGGTCTGGAGGAACGGTAGTACGATAACTGCTAGACCCAGTAGACCCACTGTTAACACTAGACGGAGTAGAACATGGAGGGCTATGGAACGAAGGAGGTTGTAACACAGGCGGAACAGCAGCCGACTTTGAATTGCAATTAATGGCATTAATAACCTTAATAGGAAACATTGTTTTGAAGGACGAGAGTACAGGAAACCTTGGCTATAGTTCTCATGTATTCATCTTTGGTAACACATTTTTGAAATACATATTCTTCTACTTGTCGGGCATCTCCGGGAACAGGAAGATTAGGAGCATTTTGCCGATTCCTTTGGAGTTCCGGCTCACTGAAAAGGAAACATTGAGAAATGTGTGTTCGTTGTGAGGAGTAGTAGTGATTAGAGATAACAGGGCAACTTACAGCCTATTAATCACATGATCCCTGAATTTCTGAGACGGCCAGTCCTCGTCCGTCATAGTCTGTGTAAAATAATCAATAAAATTCTGTTGAAGCGCAAATTCTAATACCCTCCCTGTCAAATCTGAAATCAGATAAAGTTGGAAGCATTTTGATAATGACGAAAAAGCAAAACATAGAATAAACAAGAAAGATAGAGCGACATCATTGAAAAAGCAAGTATAACGAAGAGAATAGACGAAGTGAAGACACAAAAAAGATAAAAAGGAATATACATATAATAAGCACGACGACGATGTCATTAGATACCGAAGAAAAAAACAAAAAAAAAGAGAAATATTACGCAAAAATCGAAATGTGAAACAGAAAGGCTAATAAACACTTTTGTTTATATTCGGATGGCGAATGTAATGAGAATTCTAAATGAGCTTTAAAAATATCTGAAGCACAAAAATTAATTGAAATATTTCTATACGAACACCGAGAATCAATATTAAAAGACACTCTGCACCACATATAACATCACCACATCACCATCACGCAGGAGAGCAGTTACGAATTTAGAAGAACGAGACCCCGAATACCACCATCTCATCATACATACAGACAAAGCAGAGAGACAGAGACACACATTGAACAGTCCTGCCCGTATGACGACTAGCTACAACGAAAAAAAAACAAATTGGGCCGCAACGTTTACGGCCATCTTGTCTCTTTCTCTCTTTCTCTCCCCTTCTACTCCTTATGGCCTGGGATTTACAAGAGGGATAACATTTTTTGTAAATGCCAAGTACAAGACAATTGTTCGGAGATAGGCTAAAGACAAAGAGAAACGAGGAGAGGACGAGGCGTAGATATTAGGAGTAAGAGAAGAAAATCGATAAAAATTAAAATTCAAAATTCTTGGAGAATTTTTAGGAAAAGTGTCTTGTACGCATTTGAGTACGCGAAATTAATGGGTACAAGACACGTGGAGATCTACATGTGCACGAAAATCACGAAAATGAAGAAAATGCATTCAGCACACCTTGCCATCTTAACGAAAGTTGTGAGACCAAATAAAACAATAAATATTCTTCTCAATCAATTGAAATTCAGATTGATCTATACTGTACTAACATGGAGGGAAACACTTTCATTTATTCAACTATGATATACTTCAACAAATTGACAAAAATCGTTCGTTTCGTCCTCATTTCAGAAGCACGCATAGAAAGAGAGTTATCATGCTGGAATCAGCTGAGGAGAAACTAAACTTTGAGGACAAGGAGTTCCAATAGGTGAATGGGTGAAGGGCTAAAGTAACACTCAAGAGACAGCTGTGCAGAGACCGCTGCGAGTGTCGTCGTCGCCATCGCCTCCGTTTTCACCCCGTGTCAGTCGGACTGGTTTCTCTCTGTCTTTCTCTTTCCGTCACTGTCTCGCATATCCCTCTACGTTTTTCGTAGTCATTTCTCCTTCCATTCAACTCTCATGTTCTCTGTAGCTGCTATTTCTAATACCATCTCTATCCCTAACAACGATGACGGGCGCTACCCTATACAGATACATACATGGTACTAGCACTAGTTCATTTAGGGTTTTCAATTTTGCGGTCGCTAATCGAAGAGAGTAGAAAACAAAGGACAAGACGCACCTAATGCACCGAATCCTGGTTGAGTAAACCTGCGGAGCTTCGAGCACCCATTTCACTCTCAAAAAGGATGATCATTCTCAATCTCGATCTCGAGCAAAGAAATAACAGAAATAAACAAAACAGAAGGAATTGTTGTTTCAAGAAATTGCTGCTCTACATTGAAGAGCACGGGAATCCAATTTCAGGAGAAGAGACGAGAGGTAAAAAAACACAAAACAAGATAGGATTTTACGTTTGCAGAACTTCGTATCAGTTATGAGGAAAGACGTGAAAGGATAAATAAACAGAAAATATTCCTTAAACAGTATGGTTAGGTTGTTGACAGAATATGAAGAAGAGAAAGGATACCACAGCATTCGATCACTTCACGATAAAAGACGAATCTTGCTAGTACCAATAGAAACACCTTGTACGCGACTAGTTTACAAGCAAATATTAAATGACCTGCATATATGCTACAAAAAATTACAATCAAAACTATGTCTGAGAGTGTTGCAGAGAGATGCAAAGAGTGAGAAAGAGGCGTAACTGTCCAAATTTCTATTCATTAGCATATTTTGGAAACTTTTCATCACACTTCAATCTTGAGCGCTAACCCCAATAGCCCCCGTTGGAAAAGCGACGAAGAGTGGACCAGGTCGTAGTTTAATAATAAAACAAGGTCAATCTCTTGCCTGTAATTAAAAGGAAACATCGCATGTCCGGATTACCTCGAGATCTTATGTCTCAAATATTGCAGATTACAACAATCAGCCTTAGAAGATCTCTGAAAGTCGAAATAGTTACCTGGTCGTCCTACTCTGGCCCAAATCCTCCGACTGTCGAAACTATTTGGAAAATGGTTCTACACATCAAACTGTAATTAAAGACAGTAAATACAAAAATAGAAATGCTAACAGACATCTGAACAAAGAAAGAGAGTACTCCCAATGAGGAAACACCCCTCTGGATTTCGGGGAACCCATGCTGGACTCTGTTAAGCCTCAGGCGATTATTGTGGTTGGGCGGGCAAGTTGAACATGAGGGTTCTATAAGCATATGCTTAGAGAATAGAGGAGCATCACTAGGTGTCAAGAACGTAATGGCCATTCCAGATTTTCCGGCACGTCCTAGAAGAAAAAAAGTTAGACATTGGTTTATAACAAGCATATTCAAAACTGGTGGCTATGGAATGTTTCAGATAGAGAACATGATGAGAGAATGAGAAACCGGCAGGCAGCATGGGAAATTTTGAATTAGAGAAAAAAAGATTCCAATTTTTACATATTAACCGAGAAGAAGAAAAGACGCGGCATGACTACGAATGGAAACGTTGGTGAACAAACAATATGTGTTAAGCCATGAGTAAGTATTCGGAATTGGAATCCATTTATGAATTCAATATAAACAAATCAACACGTCCTTCTCTACAAGTAAAGCAATCTCACTACTGCAAAGCAAAAAGCCTTGAACTGAGTTTTTGTTCAAAACAAAGAAAGCCTGACGACGAACGCTTTATGAGCGATTGTTAAATATAGAAAAATAGAAAGTAAAATTGATAAAAAATAAGTAGCAGTAGATCCTAGGTTCTGGCGTGTTAGTTAATATTAAGCAAATAGTAGCGGAACTTCGGTTTCCTCATTGAATGTCAGCCAGTGAGTGAATCAGAACTATAACTTGCAGCTAGAATTCGAAAAAGTCAATTGCTTTAGTAGTAACTTTTCGATGTTCACGATACAGTTAGGTTAAACATTTGGATTTGTTCAGCACGACACAGTGAATGAGATGAAGGAACAAAGTCTTTTGCATCAGAAGCAGAGAAAGAAGAGAAGAGCCGAAGATAGAGGAACAAGACATGTAGCCTGCATGCTCTCCCCAATCGAAACAAGTGCATAATATAAAGTGGGCAAAAGGGCAGTAGTCTAGAGAAGCAGAGGATAAATAGGAGAGAACCTGTATCTGACCAGCTGCTGAGAGAAAAAAAAGGAGTTCAAAAAATAACAAGGTGAGTAGAGAGACAAAGAGACCGACTTACAAAATTTAATAAGAGAATGAGAAAAGAACAAGAACACAATCAATTCCAAAACAAATGTGTGAGCAAGTGTTAAAACAAAATTTTTTTTAATTTCCGAAAGGTATGGAATAGATCGCGAATTGTTAATTCACTGAAATGTATTTTCAACATTCATATTATTTAATTAAATAGAAATTTCAGCCAATAAAATCAATACCTTGGCTATCCTTTATGTGTCTTAATACAATCGCTCTGGTAGAGATAATATGAGAAGATAAGGTCTACTTCAGACCGTCTCACCACATCTCACAAAAATCAATACATAGGCTATCCTTCGTGTCTCAATGTAATCTCACTGGTAAGATTGACTGTTAAAAAGGTAAGATATACGGTTTCACATCATATTCCGTATGTTATGACGCACGAAAACAACTTGATCTTCTAAAGCTATCATGACGAAATGAGAATTAACTATATATCCTTCTGGCTAAGAGAAAGAAAAAGACATTCAAATGAACAATGAGATTTGTTTGAACGTTTTTTTATGAATGCTTCCAATCTAATTTCTTTCAACATGTTGCTTTCTATAAATTGCACGTTATAGCCAAGTCAGTAAAGTAGCTGAAGAATTCAGATTACGAGAAACGATGCCCACAAAAGCTCCATAAAATGGTGTGTGTGCGTTTCAGGTATTATCGTGAAGTTACAGAGTGAAAGAAAATTCTTATCACCCACAGTTAGTAAGTGAAAATCCATGGCGCTCAAGTGCATATAGTAATAAAATGAGATACTAACATATAACACAAGTTTAGGCCCCGAGATATTGATTAGAACCAAAGTATGAAGCATGATAATAGTAATTGTAATCATTCGAAAAAAAAAACAAGGTTACATCGTTTTTATTCTGCTTGCACACTTGGGAGTCGCACTATCGTTCCAAAATCGCGTGATCGCTCGAAATTAGTACGAGAACGTATCGTGAGTGAGAACGAGTAGGAAATGTTTCTAAAGTGTGAGTCGCAGTATCAGCAATTCGAACTAGCATATTGCGAAAACGAGCCATATATTCACTTTTCATTTCAATAAAAAAATTCTTTGATAATTCTAAGAAAGGAATTCAAACCTAAAATAAAGCTAAATCACAGCGTTAATGTTTTGGGCTAATTACTACTCAGAAGAACAAGTAATAACCAAGCAGAAGAAAGCGACGACGAAACATGTGACAATCGATTTCGACACCTTCCCCCCTTATCTTATCAAACAAAGGCGATGCAGACGAAGTCGAGAAAGAAACAGTAAATGACATTTTCCCTAGGCAAATTTGATATTCACATAGCAACAATGAGCCTGCTAAACACGTGAGTTATGAGCTTATGAGACAGTCAAGAGGGATATTGACAAATAAATATGCGAATGCAACCATTCTGAGCGTGATGACATTCTGTTCTAACACAGAAACAAACTCAAAGAGTGAGAGAGAGCATAGAAATGGTAGCAACAGTTAACAGCAGAGAACGAAGATAGTTACCTGGTCGTCCCACTCTGGCCTCAATCTTCAGAGTTTCGATAATACTTGGTAAA